GGTGGTACAGTGGTTAATGCTTGCCTGCTAACTGAAAGGTCAGCCGTTTGAACCCACCAGACTCTCTGTTGGAGAAAATGTGGCAGTCTGCTTTCCTAAAGATTTACAGCCTTGAAAACCCTGTGGGGGCAGCTCTACTTTGTCCTGTAGGGTCTCTATGAGTCAAAATCATGGATGCATAAGATGCAGTTCTTGTTGTATGGTGTTTAGGGAGATAGACTTGTGGGATGTTATGGTCTCTTCTCTGAATTCTCGGAGCACTTTGTCTCTACGTCTCTTCAGGTACTCAGCTGAAGGTCAGCAGGAACTGAGTAAATGACTCATTCATTCATTCTATCATTCATAGTGGTTACTCTGTGTCAACCCCTCTACTAGGTGCTAAGGGGTCAATGACAAACAAGACATGAGGCCCTCAAAGAGACCCCAGAGTAATGGGGTACAGATGCATATTTTCTTTTCCCATGCCTGGTGCAGGGTAGGTGCTGGGTCAGTATTTGTCAAATTAAGTTTGTCTTTCTAAGGCAGCTGTTTCTCTCTGACCCTTCTCAGTCTCTCCTCTCCACAGGATCTGCCTCTCTCTGGATCTGATCCTTGGCATCCATCTTCACTTTTTCTAAAATCCCTCTAACTCTACCAGTTTTTCTCTTTGGACTCAACGTCTCCTGTCAACTGACTCTCCCTAGCCAAACCCACCTACCTTCTTGAGTGAGCTGATAATCTACCAGGCTTAGAGGAGCCCAGTAAGACTTAACAATGTCACATTATTTCTCTGACCAATACAGTGTCCATAGACATATACTGAACTGATTCAAATATGCAAACTATGCAAATAGTTTGAGGATAATGCTTTCATCAGAATTTCTTAATATGCTAACTTGCCCAATGCTGACAACCTGCAACTACTCACTGAGGTACTCTGCCTGCCCCACCTCCACCCCTTTAAACCTAGTTAGTTCTTCCCAAGATGACAGATATGACCAACAGTGGGAAACAGCTTTGGCTCTACCTTGAGAATTCTAGGAGATGCCTTCATGATGTCCTCCCTTTCCCTATTGTCTGATCCCAAGCTCTGCCATCTGGGTCCTATCTCTTTGTAAGGACCCCAGTGGCTTCTCGCATCCCATTCAAGTCTCAATAGCAGGTACCCTTCATTGTATTCTACTCATGACTGGAGGTGAGGAACAGGTGTTCTATTAGGCAGATAAGGGTCTAGGCCTCCAGACTAAGGAAGAAAGATAATCTTCCAGTCACCTAGTCTGGTGATGGTGGTTCCCATGTCTGCTATGTTCCCTCCTTCTTTAGATCACTAAGGTTCTATGCTTCTATCACTTCATGTTGGGTTGAGGACAGTAGTGGCAGAATGTTAGATACCCACTGCCATTGAGTCGATTCTGACTCATAGTGACGCCCATTGGGTTTCCAAGGTGGTAAATCTTTACGGAAGTAGATTTCCCAGTCTTGCTTCCACAGATTGGCTGCTGGGTTTGAACGACCAACCTACTGGTTAGCAGTCAGATGTCTTAGGCACTGTGCTACCAGAGATCTTTGAATGTCAGATAGAGCCATTATATTCCTTAAACCTGTGTTAAACATCTGCTCTGGGCCAGGCATTGTGCTGGACCCTGTGGACATAGATGAACAAGTCAGGATTCCTATGGGAGGCCTTCCTCACTCTAATTCCATCTGGCAATACTTCTGCCTCAAGCTCTATGGCTTCTCCCATGGACCCCAGCACAGCCCAGACTGATTCTGCTTGGCTGGGGCCCTCACATTATGGGGAGCTCATCCTTCTCTCTGGGCTGCTCTTGCTCTAGTATTTGTGGCACAAGATACGATGGTACACAGAAACAAAAGGCACCACTCATACAACTCCTGGTATCACTGGTTGCTGTGGAAAAGCCCCTACTTCCTCACCCCAGGCATGAGGCTTCTGAGAACATGAGTTCTTGGGGAAGGCTTGGGGATTGAAGACTGGCTTGCTTGCTTCCCCCGTGGAGGGGTGATCGCTTAGCCCCAACTCCTGGCTTTGAATTCCTTTCCCTTCCATGGACCTAGGCAGCTAAAGTTCCAGTATGCCTCATACTCAAGCCTCTCTGAATCTGATATGCAGCTCAGAATCTGTAGCATGAAGGAGCTACATCTCTAGGACCTGCTTTTCCTTGCTGGCCTCAGAAATGCTATTGTGTCTCTGAGTGACAGTCTGCTTCCTGGATGCCATTAAATTGAATCCCAGACAGACTATACAAATTGTGGTGCAGCATATGGGGTCCAGAAGGGTTTGGGGCTTTGTCTACCAGGTATGGGCCTTGTTCTTGTTACACATAGGCATCAAGCAAGGTCTGCCTGCCCATCAGAAATTCTACACTCTGCAGAAGTGCCACAGGATTCCTCTATAACAAGGATCCCCAATAAAAGCCAGCTGGCAATAATGCTGCTTCTCTCTTTCCTGAAATAATGATTTGACAATCTAAACCTGGCTCTTCTCTGGGTGGGAGGTGGACTTTCTTAGAGGGCAGATTACTCTCAAGTTTCAGTACCAATAAGGTAGAGACATCAGAAGCCCTTTCTCATGTTCTAATGTTATAATCACCACCACCACCATCACTGCCGCCACCACCATCATCATCATGTAATTACTAAGCAAATTTTTCTGTGTGTGTGTGTGGTGGGCACTATGTTGAGACTCTGTATACATTTTAAAAATGTAATTCTCACAACTACCCAACAAAGTAGACATTATTATCCTAACCTTACAGATGAGATCAGAGTGCAGATAAGGAATTTTCCCAAGGTTACATAGCTAGAAGGTGGAATTTACATCTAGGTCTATCAGATTCTAAAAACTTGCACTGTTTTCACTCTGTCATGCTGCCACTGTATAATAACCACCATTACCTATCATGTACCAAGCATGGGGAGTCTATAGGTGGCACAAATGGTTGACTACTGGATTATTAACTGAAAAGTTGGTGTTCAGACCCACCCAGAAATACCTTGGAAGAAAGGCCTGATGATCCCCTTCTGAAAGATCATAGCCTTGAAAACCCTATGGAGCAATTCTATTCTGCACACATGGAGTCACCACGAATTAGAATCAACTCGGCAGTAACTAAGAACAACCAATGTGCTGATTAATTGCAGTTAATCCTTTCAACAGCTTTCATGAAACAGTTACTATGATTGCCCATTTATAATTGGCAGCACTTACAAAGGTTAAATCATTCCCTTTAGGTCACACGTAGCTAGTAAAGCCAGATTCAAACTCTCGGCATTTTCTACTCTACCATGCTCCCTCCTATGAGAAGGAAGAAGACAACTCAAACTTGGTGACTGATCCCACTAGAACCAATGATGCAAATAACCAATGACCTGTGCTACTGGCCCAGATCAAGGAGACAGAATACCAGGGAGATAGTTTAACAAAACAGGCATCTGGTAACTTGGGTTTCTGCTTCCACTCACTTGTGCTTGTGTTTCATGGGAATCTATATGCAGATATGCAGCAGTGATAGATGGCTGTTTCTTCTGCATCTAGATCAGCGAGGAGCAGGAATGTAATGACGCAGGCAAATGTTAGGCAAAAGGAAGCTTTCCAGTAATATTTTGGAAAATATAATTGCCCACTCATCTGTAGACTATAATCTAGGCCCTGCCCTAAGTACTGTGGGTTTGGAGAGATGCAGGGCCTCTGTTTGCAAAGTGTATGCAATTTAACTGAAGATGACAGATACGTAAATAATGATCTGGGAGCTGACTTCTACTACTAATCTGCAACATGATTTAACCTCTCTGAACTCTGAATCCTCAGCATACAATTAAGTAAAATAGATAATGTCACCTTAGAGTCCTCTCTCCCACACCCTTCAGACACAATCAGTTACCAAGCTTCACTGATTTTTTTCTTTAGATAAATCTGAAGACTTTCCTCACCTTCCCATCCCTCTTCACTACTCTCATGGTCCCCTTGGGGCAGGGACTTGATCGTCTGTGTTCCCTCTTACTCTCTGGCCCAGAAATCATGTACGTGGAATGTATACAATCTGTGACTGCTGAAATGAACTGTGCTGAAATTTAGAGAAAGCTCCGCACAGACAAGGCATCACTACATTGGAAGACATTCAAAATAAATTATTATAAACTCTTCTTTCTCAGGTACCTCTTACTACTTTACAGCTCCTGGTTTGGGGATCAGAGACTGGAGGGGTAGCCTTCACTGGCTTTGTGCACTTTCTGGCCGTTGGCTTGTAAGCTATCCCTTCTATCTGGAACGCTCTTCTCCTTTCATTGCTGAGCTAACTACTTCCTGTCTTTAAGACTCAGTTCATCAACCACCCTGGCCTTCCTCCTATCCACGAGCACTTCCTCTGTGTTCCCAGAGTAGTACCCTGGAGACATATTTCTCTATCACACCATAATGTAACTGTCCCTTTTTGTTATTGTTCCCCCAATGGGCAGAGATGGTGTTTTATTCCTCTCTGTGATCCTAGCACAGGGCCTGGTAGTAGACATCAGTTTAAAAAAAAAAAAAAAGTCCAATGGATGACACAACTGAAAAACGAAAGGGCATATGGGCATATGACTTGGGACACCAGCAGGTGTACCCCACCCCCAGCCTAGCAAAATCTTCTGGACATCATCTCTGAGGTTGAGCCATGTCAAAGCCTTCTAGCTCATCTGGAGACTGCAGGATCAGTAAGAGCTAACTGGAAAGTGGGTATTGATCCAAGATTCCCCTTGGACCTTTGATTTCTCATTCTTTCCACCTATCACCCAGTGGGAACAGCAAAACTTGGCTCATAAAAATTCCAAATGCCTTGGATAGCAGTTTTCTAAATGCAGGGACCTAAGGCTGCTTCTCTGGCTCCCCTGACATTCCATCAAGAACCTTTGATTCTGCCCTCCCGGCCTTTTCCCACCCTCACTGACTCACACCTGGCCCTCCAGGTGATTCCATTCTCCTTCAGAGAGCCAAGATTGGAGCCAAGGCCTGATAGACTCACCCTCCATCAAAGGGATTCTCTCCAGGGATGATGTGTGTGCTGTCCCTGCCCACAAGGAACTTGATGCGGTCGTAGAAGGAGTGTAGGTTCTGCTGGGACACAGGGGCCTGTGTCTCCTGAATGATGTCCAGAGGGTCGGGGGAGCCCAGGCACAGCGGATTGACATGGCAGAGGGGCTGGAGGCAGCAGTCAGGGTCCATGCAGTCAACCAAGCCATCTGCAGGGGTGACAGAGCATTTGTTTATATTGCTATGTTCAAGCAGTCATGTTGGTCTAGTTCATCTCTTCTCTATTTATCCAATCATGGAAAAAACTTTATTAAGTGCCTGATATAAGCCAGGACCTTTGCTGGGCACTGAAGAAATCAAGGTGATTCAGATCTGGTCCTGGCCCACCAGTCTCATGGGAGAGACAGATAAGTAAGCATATGTGTACATATGTATATATCTATCTATCTACTTATACAAACACACATTCAGAGATACACATACTTATGAAGGAGAAGTATATATTGAGGCCTAGAGGTAAGAGAACTTGATCATTTGAGTCACTAAATTCAAATGCTGGTGCTTACAAGGTAAGGAAAATGGTACAAATGGGGCTTCCAGGTAAGCAAGAGCAGAACATGCTGAGCTTGTAGGCCAGGTTAGGGGCTTTGCATTTTACCCTCAGGACAGTGGGGAGCCACTGAAGTATTTTAAGCCATGACATCTGATCTGCATTGTGGAAAGAACATCTCCTGCCAGGCACAGAATGGACTGAAGGGGGCCCAAATGGAAACTGATGGACAAAGGAGTAGTTGAGGTTGCACATGTTAAAAATAACATGCTCAGACTGGAGTGGTAAGTGGAGGTAGAGAGTAGGAGAGATGGTTGGGGAGACATTTAAGAGGTAAAAACTGTAAGACCTGGTGACTGACTGGCTTTGGGGGTAAGGAAGAGAGATCGTGGGTGAGGACCCTGTAATTCTCAGCATCTTTCCTAGCTGCAATGCAATTGTGTGGCCTGAGACATAGTCCTCAGTCCTTTGGAGACCTGGCTCTGCCATCTGTGAGAGGGGGCTTTAGGGATATTAGTGCTTGCTGAGTTTTCTGAGTTTCAGATCTCTGACTGAGATGCCATTAGCAGGGAATTCTCTTTTATCTCAAAGATGGATTTCTTTTGGACTGAAAATTATATTACAGCTCTTGTAGCTTTCCAAAGTGCAAAAAAAAGACCACAGATTTTTGGTATCATTATCCCAAAGTGCTCTTACAGGCACCCAGTGGAATAGCTTAAAATGGATAACAAACTCAGAGATCAGAGGATACTCCTAAGAGAGAACCTCAAAGGACAGGAAAAGCCCAGGGTTACATTCTGTGAGCTATGTAGACAGAGAACATTCTCATAATGTGTGTTTCTGCCTGAGTTCAAATTCTGGTTCTACTGCTTATTAACTGTGGGAATTTGGGCAAACTTCTCCTCACTCTTGGGGCACAGATCCTGTTTTCATTATTTTCATTATCTCTGTTGTATCCCTAGGTCTTAGTATAGAGCTTGGCACATACCAAGTGTGGAAACATGATTGTTAAACAAATAAATGAGTGAAAATTGAATGATTTAATTTTCAAATACACAAGAGGATGAAATGAAATGCCAGTTCATAAAAGCTGGAAAACTGCATGGTCATTCAATTCAATTACGCAGTGTGGCCTGGTAAGCCTCAGAGACTGAAGTTCAAGTCCCAGCACTATCATTTAAATGACACTGGCCAATTTCTTGTACTTGCTATTTCTGAGGGCCAGTTTCTTCATCAATAATGTGGTATTAACACTAATATACTCACCTCAATTCTGTTCCCATGGAGCTTACATTGTAGATGGTACCCACCAGAGTACTGCACAAACAGACCCATCCACAGGGGCAGCACAGATTACTGGCTGTGACTTCAGGGCAACCTGGAGCTGTGCCCTTGATCCTCTTTACCAGCTGTGTGACTTCAGACAAGTTACTAAACATCTCTGAAAACCAGTGTTTGTCCTTCATGAATCACAGACAAAACTTTGGTACAGTGCCCAAGGGCTTGTAACCTCCTTTAGGGCAGCCCAATTCTAGAGTATGGACTCCAGAGCTATATTGTCTGGGTCGAAGCCTGGCTCCGAAACTTAGTACTGTATAACTTTGGGCAAGTTAAACCCTCTGGCTCAGTTTCTCACATCTCTAAAAGAGGGAGTGACATGTAAGTATTTGTTAAATAAGTATAACATGTAGTATTATACCCTCAAACCCAGAGATCAGAGGAAACTCAAATCTAGCATAGCGTCTGGCACATAACAAGTGCTTAATAAAGTGGTAGTCCCTCTTCCCCATTCTGAATCTAGAACACAGCTCATCAAAATGAGGGGCCATTTTTCCTCTGTCTGTTCACCTGCCAAGTCCATTCTGAGTTGTGGGGAAAAGGCCTCCCCTCACCCCAGCACTGTTCTGAGCCCTGACTTGTGGCTCCTGTCCCTCCTCTCCCAGGTTTACCAACTGCCTAGCAAAGCACCTGTCTTCTCCTGCAGCCGGCGGGCTCCATCACATTCTCTTGGGCTGCCCCTGTCAGACATTGCTTAAACACATAATTACAGCCTGAGCTGAGGGTTATTTGCATTCTGCTATTGATGTTAGCATGACAGATTCAGCTGCCGCATCCGTAACTCTGCAGAAATGCTCCATTATTCAATCTTGGCGAGCAGGGACGTTGACCATTAAATCAGCTAGCACAATTGAAGGGCCGTGAAAAGTCATGGCTAATTTGAAATTTTATTAGGTCTTGCCTGCTCTTGTTTACCACTGAAGCAGTCTCTGGAAACCAGTTTTTTACCTCTTTATAAACACTCGGCTCTGTGGCACCTGGGAACCACTGCTTCCTGCTGAGGAAGGATGTCTGCTCTCTAACCCTGGAAGAAGGTTAGTCAGGAATGAGTGTTATCATTCTTATTTATATGAAACTGATGATGATAATAAATCACAGCTACCATTTATTGAGTGTCAGGCACTGTGCTAAGTGGTTTACAAAGAATGTCTCACGGAATCCTCCTAACCCTAGGAAGTAGCAACTGTCATTACCGTCATTTCAGAAGGAGCCAAAAGCTCAAAGTGGCAAAGATCACAAACTCAGTGAAGGAGTGGTCAAGGTCACAAACTCAGTGAAGGAGCCAGTACTGGAGCACAGTTTTTTCTGAGTTATGGGAGGTTCGTTGAGCTCTGGAGAGCTCTTTTAGGAACTATGTTTTAAGTGCAGAACATGAATTTATGAGACTTCTTGAAATACTAGTACTCTTTGCTCCTCCAGCATCCTGGGCAACTTCTATCACAGCACTTAACTCTCTATATTGTAATTGTGGATTTTCTCTGTCTCCTTTCCCAGGCAGTGAGCTCCAGGGGATCAGGCACTGTTTGACTCCTTTCAGTATCCCAGGTCCCAGAACTGGGCCAAAACAGAGACTGCACTCCATAGAGTTTGAAGAATGAATACATAATCTAGGCCAGGGCAGCTCCACTGATCCAGGATTAGAATCATAGGACACCAAAACCTGTAGCAACCTTTTGTTTTTTTCACCCTTAGATCAAGCAGAAGGCACAATGCTTAAGACAGCAGCCTCTTGAGGCAAACGGCCCAGATTTGGATCCTGAATTTGTACCTGGTACGAATTGTTTTACTTCTCAAAATATTTCTTCATATGAAGATTAGGGGAGAAAAAGAAAGATGGTTCATTCCTTACACTCACCAATCTGCTTCTATAGCCAGACACAAAATGCAAAGCCTTCTCTTGGGTGTCTTGTGATGACACAATGGTTTTTCATTGTGATAACACAATGATTTTGCAAATCAGAATTTTTCTCCAAGCATGGAACCCAGCATGCACCACACAGTAAGCAATATGCTACAACATGGGGCCTTAAATTAGGGCTTATGTCTTTCATCACTTTGTCATAAACTCTTTGACTATTCCTCTTTCCCATCTTCTTTGGTCTTTTCTTTGGGAAAAGTATTTAATGCATAAAGGATCTTCTCCTATCCTTCCTGTCTCTCAACCTCTCTTAATCTCCATCTTTTTATCCATGCTCCATTTTGATTTATTTCCCCAGATCTATATTGTTTCACTTATTTTTCCTTCATCTCCATCTCGACTGCAGTTTAACCTGTCCCATAGGCCACTAATTTAAATTATTATACTTTAAAATTTCTAGGTAGTCTACTTAGAACTTTTCAAAATCTGCCTATTTCTTTCTTGATGGTATCTTGTCCTTTACTATGGTTTCACCTTGTTTTATCTCTTTAGTCATTTACACACTTACTTATTATATAGTCCTTTTCAGACTGTTAGATTCCTGGGAGTGGTCATCTCCCATATGCTGACTTCAGTTTATGGTTGCTCATTTTCTCTGTGTTCTATAATACTTATTAACTCTAGAGAGAGTGGCTTGTCACTTTTTTCCTACAGGAATCCTCTGGGCTGAGGTGGGTCAGATAACACTCCAGGATTGATTTATTTACTCCATCTGCTTGCCATTCCAGAGCTATCACCACTCTGGGACCACTTTTCAGGCTAATTTCTCTACTTGAAGCTCTAGGACCACTTTGGTTGTGTAAATTTGGATTTGAAGACCTTTCTGCAAGGGTCAATTTCTAACAGCAGATTCCCATCCAGCATCAGGGACTCAGTATCATCTCTTTGGTGTTGTAGGCAGATTATTTATTTATTTATTTTTTCCAGCTTCACTTTCACATTAATCGCAGACTTTGAGGTTGAGAGTCCCAGTTTTATATAGGGCCTCAGTTCCAGTCCCCACTTTGAGCGTGCCCATCTTCTGCTTCGATGAACATACATCCCAAAAGTCAATTTTATCTTGGGCACCTAGTAGTACTCAATTCCCCCCCAGGGCTGCTGGTTTTCAGCTTCACCAATCTGCTGCTCCCTGGCTTCTTTCATCTTAATGTAGAATACAAATGCATCGATATGTATATTTTTCAGGAGTATTTATTTTGGCTACTTTAGGAACATTTACATTTGCCAAGTACTTTGTATCTCTTTTAAATGGATATTAGATATAAGTTGGCAAGTTTATAAAATATCCGTGTTTCATGCTATTCCTATGAGGCGCTTTCATTATAAGAACACAAAACACATCAGGAAAACTGGGAGGAGTTTTCTCTTTCTCTTTCTCTTTCTTAAACAAATTTAACAATGAG